CGAAGCAAAAAACCCGCAGCACCGATTTCGAATTCCGCATTTCGAGCCGAAACAGTGCTAGGTCAACTCTAAATGGCGTGTTCAGAGTGCACATGGTTAACAAGCTCTGTTTAACAAAAGTTCTGAGCTCTAAGCCACCTGCATACAGTTTATTTCGAACTGGGAAAACGAGAGAGTATGACTGAATCCCAGCATTCGGTCATGTTCCAGGCATTTTATGCCACCGGTAGCATTGTTGATTTCTTCCAAGCATGATACCTGAGAATGTTCTAGGCAGGCAGGTTCTACGGCGCAGGTTAATTCCACAAAGACCCACTGCTTCTGTCAAGTGGCATCAGTTTGAAGGTCATATGCCCCCACGGCGTTACATATTGCAGGTGCACAATTAGAGCCGAACCAGCACATTCCTTGTGCATGCCACGGATGAATACTTCACGGGCCGGACCTTTTCTTTTGTTCTCGTTCGGCACCGGTCGATACACCGTCAGCACTGCTCCGCCAGACTACGTCAGGGAAAGAGAGTGGACGCCTCGTTGCTGTTCAAGACGCAATCGACGGTCAAGACCTTCCCGACGCAATCATCAAGACGTCTGCAGCCACGCGGCTGTATTCGGCGGGAGTGCAGCCGTCCAGCTGCCGGGCATGGGCGCCGCGTGCCCGGCGCGACGGCGCTCCGCTCGCCGGCGCGGCGGCTGTATTCGGCGGGAGTGCAGCCGTCCAGCTGCCGGGCATGGGCGCCGCGTGCCCGGCGCGAGGGTGCTCCGCTCGCCGGCGCGGCGGCTGTATTCGGCGGGAGTGCAGCCGTCCAGCTGCCGGGCATGGGCGCCGCGTGCCCGGCGCGAGGGTGCTCCGCTCGCCGGCGCGGCGGCTGTATTCGGCGGAAGTGCAGCCGTCCAGCTGCCGGGCATGGGCGCCGCGTGCCCGGCGCGAGGGTGCTCCGCTCGCCGGCGCGGCGTCTGCATTCGGTGGGAGTGCAGCCGTCCAGCTGCCGGGCATGGGCGCCGCGTGCCCGGCGCGAAGGTGCTCCGCTCGTCGGCGCGGCGGCCGGGCGGTGTTGACTCGGCGGCGGCCCAGTTGTCAGGGGCGTCCCAACAAGCAGCGGCCGATCGGTCAAAATGATCTTGACGGATGGCGGCACGCTAACAGCATCTGTCAGTCACAGCGCCCGGGAAACGTGCCTTCCGTCATTGGATCGCAGCGCGCGGCCCACGACGGGATAGCTGCACGCTGAGAGCCGGAGGGGTGGACGGTCGTGGAATTAGAGGGGACGTGGACCAAGACGTGACTCGAGGTGCAGCGCACTCTGACATTCGTCTTATTGAACTAGTGTGTAGGAGATTGGGACGATGGTGATAGATGCCGTATGCCTTGCGATGTACGGCATGAAAAGATCTACTTTCGTCCTGGGTGACGAAGCGTGGTGAATTGAGTCACCCTCCCTCCAATAAACGGGATGAGACGAAGCCAAAGCCGCAACTGTCGCCACCTTCATATGCATGAAGCGAGGCGCTCTATTCGCTGGACGTCACGGCAGCCACCACTTGAATCACAGTGTGACGGTTGAAAGTAGATAGATGTTACATGAGCCAGGCCTGGCGCAATTACAACATAACAGCTAGACATGAAGCACCATGGAATGTGAAGAAGCAGCTTTTTTCTCCAGTGGTGGGTGGCATAGCGTGCAAAACCACATTCATCCGCCGGCCTAATAGAAACCATGCACAGCACCACCGCTTAGCCGTGTTCTGGCAATTACGGCGGGAGCTGTTGGACGTGGAGGTTCCCATGGCTCGCTCTCAGGTCAGTATCGCGGTTTAAACGCTCCCATCGTTGTTCCCACACTGACCGGTAATCGTGTGGTCTTCGGCAGTGATGCGGCATCAGCAGCTGTCGGTTGCTTTTAATCGTCGCTCTCCCTAGCAGCTTGCTTACAAACTCGCCGTAAGTCACTCACAGAAACAGGAGAGAACACTGAGTACAAAGGCCACCGGCCCGACTGCTGCTCCCGCCATGACTTCGAACACCCTGCTTCATCGGCCCTCTCCCGGGCATACCGAACAGCCGCGAGAGGCGGCGTCTGCGTGATTGCCTATCGGCCGAGGCGGTGCCGTGCGGCCGACGCCTCCCGCGTCGCCAGGTGCCTGATCTCCGACTTGTTACGTCCTCAAAGGCCTAGACAGCGCCCGAACGGCCACAAAGAACGCCGTAAACGATTCTATTATGACGACGGCACCCCTCTCGACAAATTGAGCGTGCCCGCCGCCCGCGGTGTGGCGCGGATCGGCGCTCAAAGGAACTCCCCCGCCAGCGGTGCCGCCGCCGAAACCTGATCCAGATAAAGCAGAGGAGATGGCGCGATGGCCCTGCCTGCCCCGAGCAGGCGCGGAACCAGATCTGGACATATGTGCTTCTCAAGTCTGCTGGGAGGATAGCTATTTCGGTGATGGATCGCGAGGGCCTAGAGCGGTAATTACATGTAATCAGACTTTAACATCTGCCGGTTTAAGGCAATCTAAATATTTGATGCTTCAATATCGAGTTTCATAAACCGTGATTAACGAGAATAACTGTAGCACTAGTGTCGGTCAGTCGCAAGTTGAAGTCACTTGGTCAGACAACGGCGCTGATAATTCAACCCAGCGGATGATCGGTGACTTCATTTCAGACCATAAAACAGCCCAAGTGTTCTAACCATCTACCCGGCCTGAGGTCCAGCCCTGTTTTGCCATACAGCCGTCATGTTTTACCATGTCATTTCAGCCTTCAAATCGCTAAGCCAACACGCTGCTTGCCATGATAAATACTCCGGCGTCACCCGCTACACCGGCGGGAGAGATAACGCGAAGAGACTCCAGCCGCGATCGAAATGATTAAACCCAGGGTGATCAAAGCCGCTTGCGAGGTGTTTTCGCGAGCTCGGGTCGGCCACCGCTCTGCCCTCGCGCTAGCCGGACCGGCGCTACTGACCTTTCTCGTCATCTGTCCGCCGTCCGCCGCCTTCCGCGTCCCGCTCTCTCTCTTTCTCTCGCTCTCTCCCACGATAAGCCGGTCGATCGGCGCCGTCAGCCGCAGGATTCACCGGCACGCATTCCACGCCGCGCAAATAAAATCGGCGTCCATTGTCAGCTGCGCGCACAAACACCTCACCGCGTCCGCTCCGACGCTCGCCGCGGCGCCCGGCGTGCGGACCCTGCTTCCCCTCCGAGGTCCGCTCGGAAACTGAGCGACCGGCGGCGGCGGCGGCGGCGGCGGCGCGGCGGAGGCGGCGCATCGGAGCGCTCTACGCCGCGCACCGACGCCGACGGAGTCGTCGGGGCGGAGGCTGGGCTGAGCTCACAGCAACGGTGGGATATGATCGGCGGCTCAGCTGGAGCAGGTGGAGCGTCTGTGACCTGACCGGCCAAGCCCGAGTCAGGTGACAGGGGAGACGCCACTGGTATGTAACGCTGTTGGCGATTCATCTCCACCGTAGAAAAGAACAACGCTCGTCCTCAACGAAACATGATGTGCGCGGATCGGGTAGCGCTGGCAGAGGCCATTTAACCGTTCGCGATAAACATCTCGAAGGGAAGACCTGGGCCAAGTAGATGACTTGCCGAACTGTGTCGTGTGTGGTGTACATATTTTCGTACATTGCTTGCACTGTCGCGTAATCAATACCGTCCGACAACTGCAGGTCACGGGGCACTGCACAGCGAGGGGCAACGGGGTGGCCTCCAGCCGACATCGATCCACACATTCCAGCATAAGTGCAAGGTAACTGAACCCTGCAACGTATTTTTACGAGGACTATTTAGTCGAAAAACAAACCGCTGGTTCCAGTTGTACCAAGAGTTTGTCATGATGGCATTGACAGTGACTGTGTTGCGCCCGGTCTCTTCGCTCACATCTTTAACATTCCCATGCAAAACATCCATTTAAAACGTTCCTGTGATGGCGTCATTGCACCTGTCCAGTCCCCCTGCGAAGCGCACAAGTCAAAAGCACACCTCCGATCCCAGGTGACGGCGCTGCGCCAGCGGCCGTCCAGCTTGGAGTCACGGCGGGTGGGCGCTCCAACCGAGAGGACAGGGAGAGTGCGCCGACGACAGTTTTAATCCTGCCTGTGACGCATGCCCCGTGCCGCGGCGCCGCGCTGCCGATGGCTCACGTTACCCGCAGCCGAACCGAGCCGAGCCGAGCCCGGTGCCGGCTGAGCAAGCACCAGTTGGGAGAGCACAATTGCCTCCCGGGAAATCGATGGCTTCGCAGACAAAGGCACGCAGGATGCTTAAGGCAGTGGATATAGTTCGCTGAGATGTTCCGATGCCGTGATGAGCAGTGCGCATAATCACTACCTTTCGCCTGAATGTACCAGTGACTGAGCGAATGCGGTATTTTCTGCAGAATGAAAGGCGCGAGAAGTTTCACGTCTTTTCCACTAATAAGTAGACTGCACGGTGGCCAGTAAATAAACTTGCGTAGACAATGCATCAGCAGCGATGAATGCAAGGCATCAATGAAGAACTTTGAACGCCTTAATGCTTTCAGAGGAACAAGCTGTAGCATTCCTCTCTAATTATCGACCATACAAGCATCTGCTCTGCGATTTTCACCTCTGCCGACTAAACCGGCGACGTGGCGGTGAGAACAATCAGCGCCCAGGCCACAGGTGGCGCTCATCGGTCGCCCGACCCACGCGCGTCTCTCAGAACGGCCGCGGTGCCAACAACAACCTCCAGTCTTAATTAAAGCACAAAGTCCGGATGTGGACAGCGCCGGCCAACGTCATGGGACAATGAGCTCGTTACGCGGGCTCATCTCGCGTGCCCGATGGCGGGCGACGCTCTGCCTGTGGCTGGCGGCGCTCTCGCCGCGGCTGGCGGCGCTCTGATTATGTGGTGGCGCTCTCGCTGCGTCTGAGGAGGTGGCGGCGCTCTCGCCGCGGCTGGCGGCGCTCTGATTATGTGGTGGCGCTCTCGCTGCGTCTGAGGAGGTGGCGGTGCTCCCGCCGCGGCTGGCGGCGGTCTGAGGAGGTGGTGGCACTCCGTGGAGGTGGCGCCACTCTGGTCGGGGTCGGGGAGGCGCTGCACCCAGACCGCTCCAGGTAGGCACAGGTTCGGTCAGGTTGGTACGGGGATGCAGATCAGTCGTTTCGGTGTGCCGCGGGGTGCAGGCTGGTTGATTGGGGTATCTCGGGGTGCCGGCCGATCAGTCAGGGTATCGCGGGGTGCAGGCCAGTCGTGTCGGTGTGTCGCGGGGTACAGGCCGGTCGGTCATGGTATCACGGGGTCAGGCCGGCCGGCCGGGGTGTGGTGGGGTGCAGGCCGACCCGCTGTGGTGTCTCGGGGTGCAGGCCGCTCCAGCCCGACACAGGTCGGGTGGGGGTGGTGCGGGATCCAGGCCGTTCCACCGGATCGGTCTCATTTCCGGCGCGTGATGGCCGGGCCGGGGCGGAGCGCTGCGCTCTGTGCACTAGATGGCACGCCGCTGCGGTTGGAACAGGCCCGATATTCGGCCGCATGCGGAGCTGTGATCCCTGTGCTGGTCGCTGGTCGCTGGTCGCTGGTCGTGAAATAATGCATCGCTAGTTTCAAGGACTCGGTGAGAATTGAGATTATAGCGCATGCGTCATTACGTTCAATATCAATAGCTCTTTGACGTATAAAGCGTACCAATCAAATACGGTCGACGCGAGGGATTTCTCCAAAAAAAGAGCATGGCTTCAGGGACTCCCGACAGAAATATTCATGGAGGCAATCATGGAAGCAGCAGCTTCAGACCACCGTAAGAAATTATGTGCTCGGGGTGGCATGATATACCAACTGACCTGTGGCAGTGGGCATTGCAAATCAGGCACCCTCCTGGAGTCTTGGTACTGTTATTACATTTCTTCTCCATGAGAGGGATCTCCGTACTTACTTTATAAGGGTTGCGTCTTGATTGCTGCTTGTGAGGGTACTGAACACATATGGGCACGTGATGTGCCTTAGATCAAATGCAAAATGCAAGGTAAGAAAGGTCAAACGTATATCAGGAAATACAAAATGTCTTAACCTTCTCCACCTCAGGCTGAAATTATTTGGAAAAAGAATAACTGTGATGCTTTAAACAGGTTTGACTCAAATTCGACCTCAACCATTTCAGACGCAGAGCGCTGGACAGAAGAATGACGCAGATGGAGCACTAGAGGGGCTCTTGGGACTCATCAGACACGTGCCAGCAAATGCACTCATTGGTCGGCTGCCTACCACCCATCCAACACATCCCCGAACGAGGCTGACAAATGGCCCCGCTGCGCTCGTGTGCCCAGGACCGGGCGGCGGCGGAGCCAGCGCCGACCAGAGACAGACACTCAGACGGCAGTGCTCCCCCCAAACACCGCGCATCGCGCAGAGGATTCCGCGGAATTCTGCCAAGACGTGGCGCCCGCGTCTCGTCGCGGGGGTGCCGGTGCGCGACGCGCCACAGCCGCCGTCGACAGCCGCCGGCGCAAAGGTCACCGCTAGGTGGCCGCTGGCGCGCGCCACGCGACAGGAAACCGCCGAAACCGGAGTCGACGCAAACAAAAACGCGCGTCGGACGGGTGACGGATGACGGGTGCGTGACGTCACGTGACGCCCGACCGTCATCGTTAGCCGGTGACGATGCGGCGGGTGAGACGGTGTATGCTTGCGCACGCCGTTGGGGCATGGTGGCACGTGCCAAGGGAAACAGCGACGCGCGGCCTCCATGGAGTGCTGCTCTCCGAGCGCCGCTAGCCAGCCATCACCCTGAGGGACAGGGTGCGTAATGTCAGTTTTCTGGTTTGTAGAGCTGGCAGAAAGGAACTGGTTGGCACTGTGTGGGCTGGACCTGTCGACAAACTCCCTGTTCACTATCCGTTATCATGAATATTTCAGATAGCTCCTAGATGGTGTATTTGATTCGATTAAATGTCAAGATTAGGGCATGATCCTGTCCAACAATACAACTGGCATGCGTTTCATTTGTTGCTCCAATACGCCTCACGGCCGTAATGAATGCATTCTACCCAGCGATATACCAATCACAAACACTCAAATCGTTGCAAGTGCATCAGTTTATGCGCTTGACCTCTAGGTCAACTAGGGGTGGAGTTCAAGTACGGGGCAGTGTTTGTGGTCACACCCTAGTTTGTGAACACCATTCAGAGGTCGATGAATAGTTCATGACCATGTATTGACTCTCACTTTTTCTTAACGAGGACTTCACAAGAGAAAGATCATGATGGAGATATGGGAGGCAATATTTAAAAACTGGGAGGGCGAGGAAGAGAGAGAGAGAGAGAGAGAGAGAGAGAGAGAGAGAGAGAGAGAGAGAGAGAGAGAGAGAGAGAGAGAGAGAGAGAGAGAGAGAGACGCCCACATAGAAGCATCGCCAATGAGGTGTCAGCTATCACTGGAAGCCCCTGATCGTCCCGGGATCCCCGCACGAGCTGGGGCTGCACCACACATCCATCACCCCATACGGCCAATGAAAAGCCAAGCGTGAAGCCGCATCTGGCGGCGGCGCTGAGTGCGCCGCTCCCCGGCACACCCGCCGCCCGCTCTCTGTACATACACACTGCCGGGAATTAGACGCGGCGCACCACCGCCGGAGGGAGGGGCCCGGCGGCAGCGGCGGCAGGGCTGATCAGGGCAGGGCAGGGCCGCCACAAAGGCCAGCCTGCCCCCTTACGCGGCCGCGGCGGCTGATGGCCGTGCCGGCTTGTTGTGGCGACGAGTGATTGCATCTCCACGGCGCTGGCGCGGCGTTGGTCGTCCTGTGGCGGCGCTGGCCCGGCGTCGGTCGTCCTGTGGCGGCGCTGGCCTGGCGTCGGTCGCCCCTGTGGCGGCGCTGGCCCGGCGTCGGTCGTCCTGTGGCGGCGCTGGCCCGGCGTCGGTCGTCCTGTGGCGGCGCTGGGCTGGCGTCGGTCGTCCTGTGGCGGCGCTGGCCCGGCGTCGGTCGCCCCTGCGGTGGCAGGGCCCCGTGATGGGTGCTCAGTTGGAGCAGGGTAACAGTGACGCTGGCCCACCATCGTACAGTGTTACGTCCAAGCGAATAGGACCGGGCTGGGGGTGCCCAATCTTTCCAGGCATGTCTGCGCGACTGATGTGTATCTGGGATTTGAAAATTCGGTGGGATGCGTTCGCCAAACAAGACAAACGTTCATGCGTCATAGTATGCCATTTCAGATAGAATGTGACTTTGCTCACAGACTACACACATACAAAATTTTTAAATGGACTGAATAGAACATGCTCCAGAGCGCACCACGGTAGGGCAGATGGTTGAGCTCTCATTGGTGTAGCCTGTCGATCCACCTACCCACCCTTCCTTGATGTAACCAATGCGGCGTGGGCATGGTGCACTGTCGCTAGGACTTTTCTTCATGCCTGACGGTCATGGCTTGAAGAGCAAGTTAACAAGCTAAAAGAATCCGACAGGTAAACGTTCTTCAAAAACGCTGGGCATTACACGTGCTATTGCTTCGAATCCGGTCTGGTCTAATGCAAACTATGCTCATGCGTTCATTGAGATGCGGACATTGCTTGGATCTATATGTAATAGGAGTTTTGTACCGGTAATATTTATTCACACGTAGCGCGTTCTTTTGTGTTTCAAAACGGTTTTTTCATGATAAGACAGGTAACGCGTAAAAAGCATCAAAAGCCAGCGGCTTTTAAAAGAAACACTGGATGCTTCCTCCCGCCATGCTTCAGTTGCAGGTTCTTATTTCATGTCTGGAGGCATCGCGCAGGCGCAGCCAGCTTGACCATCTTTTCGGCAGGGTTCAATGGATATGGGAGGCGGTGCGAGTCTCCAGCGTCGCTTTGTTCCTGCCCAGCCGTGCGCGCGAGGGCGGGCTTTTAAATCCCACCACGTCCGGAGGGCTGGGGCAGCACCGGCTATCATTAGCGACTCGTGCTACAATCGGCCCGTCCCGCGACAACGCCGCCGTAATCAGGGGTCGCCAGCAGGTGGGAAAAACGCCACCGGATGCACGAGCCGTTTCATAACAATTTCATGCCTGTGTTTCGTGATTTGGTTCGTTTTTACGGACAAGACGTTACAATGGAAGACGCAATTAGCAAAGAATGAGAAACGTTGGCAAATTAAGAAAAAGAGCTTTTTTCTGAGGTGACATGTGTTCTGCCTACGGCTGAACGTCTATATCCGTTGGTCTGTTAGGGCGGGTAATATGATCTTAATACTTGGAACGTTTGCTACGGCTGTGGTCCTGCCACATGAACCGCTATCTGCTGGTTGACGCCGTTTTAGCGTTTTGTGAGTTAACGGGCTATTCATAGAGGAGGAAACCGTGACTCTCCACTTGCTAGCATTGGAACAACCGCAGGTAGCCAGCGCGAGTAAGCACAGGCTTGATGTAGACCATCCTCGCTTATGCATGGTGTCCCCGACGACAGTGCGCGAAAAAAATTTAAAACGGTTGAAATAGTGCAGTTGAAGAAGAAGTCTACCTCTTACCACCATCGACTGCCAAAGTCATGAGCTCGCTCTGGGTAAAGCCGTCTAAATCATTGGCATTCGTCTCACCACCATCCGCTGGCAAACAGATAAAGACGTGCACCAATGCCCAGGCCAGGCGACGGGGCGGATAATGCTGCAATGTTTAGGCATAGTCCCTCGCTTTTTGCAAGTCAGTCTCCGCTAGTCCCGGGAAAAAACTGGGCCTCCCGCCGGCTTGGAATGATTCACGCGCCATCCATAATTGACGTCCATCCTTGCTTGGGCGGGCCCGGTTCAGTTGTGAAGGTGAACAGCGAGCGGGCGAGGCCGGCTGGCGGGGCTTGTTTGACGACCGGAATGTAAGCGTACACAAACTGACATCAGAGGCGACCGTCGGCTTTATGAGATCACTGTGATGGAGGTGATTCATTCGGATCACGGGGAGAGGGTTGGATTCATTCAGGGTTTCAGAGCCAGCCACTCTGAGCAGAAGCCACAAATCTCTGTTTCTGAGCTCTCGCGCGGCCGTTAGCGTCATTTGTCCGCCCCTGTGTGGCTGGATAGTGTGCGACATTGGCCGTGTTCGGTGTCGTGATTGACCTGATTGGAATTGATCACCGCTGTCAAGAACGACAAACAGCCTTGAGCTGCGTTTGCTGGTGCGCTGCACAGACCATGGGTGCTTCTGCCCACTCTCTGGGCAAGGACCCCCGTGACTTGGTTTCCAAACTGACCAGACCCTTTCACCGTTTGTAGGTGCGTAGTGTTCCCAGGACCCCAATTAATAACGGCAGCACATGTCTCGAAATGCCTGCCGCTGCCCTGATAAGCCACCTCGGCGATATCCAATACCTGTTTTTCATTCATCATTGTCAGTACAGTGCCGCGCACGCGATCCCGCCACTCGTCTGCGGCCAATTTACAATCACGCGATCGCCACCGCTCGCCGAGAACAGTGATGGGCATGATCGGCTCGACACCTACTCGCCGCGCTCGGCAGGAGGTTTTTGTCCACCTCTATCTGGGCTCTCATTCCTTCCATGGGTCAGCGAACTCTGTGGCCATCAGCCAGGCAACGAATCGAGCTGCTGTGATATAAATTAGCCAAGTCGAAGAGATTGACCGAGTGGGCCTAGGCTATTTTGCTGAATCACTGGCACGCCAGCGGTGTCATCAAAGACATCTGCTGCAGCTTGGTTCCACTTATCCGATTGGCTTTGAGTTTATGTATTTTGCCGAGCACTCAGTGGCGTCAATTTAGACAAGTGCATCTTCAGCTCCATCCTTGTTTACAAAGCGCGAGCACAGAAGCCGGCTAAAGGAGGAGAAATGGGAGTGTAGGGCTTCTAGAAAGCCTCTGCATCTAATACCCGCTCGCCTATTTGTGAGCTCTTATTTGGGCCCTCGCGTGTCATACGCTCTGCCATTTCCGCCGGATGAGGTGACTTTAAAAATGAGTTTTCAGTTGCATTTTGAGGAACGAGACCTCAATCACACGCAAGACCCATTCGCATTTTGGGGTGGATGGACGTGAAAAGATCGTTCTCTTCCACCGCATTCCAGATTTGCGGCGAAAATCACCCATTCTGAAGGCACCCCGACCATGAGAAATGCACGCCGAACGAAGCCTTACGACAAAATTCCCCTTCTGCGGCATGGTGTAGCAATTACCAATTTACGCCGCCACATACATTAGCCCGAGCCTTAATGTCACACAACACGTCTTCTGTCGACCGGGCGCCGCCTTCACACCACACGTCCCTGGTTGACAGGCCTTGTCGACCGGGCGCCACCTTCACACCATACGTCCCCCGGTTAACAGGCCTCGGTTGACAGGCCTGGTCGACCGGGCACCACCTTCACACCACACGTCCCCCGGTTGACAGGCCTCGTCGACCGGGCGCCACTTTCACACCATACGTCCCCCGGTTGACAGGCCTCGGTTGACAGGCCTCACCGACCGGGCGCCACCTTCACACCATACGTCCCCCGATTTACAGGCCTCGTCGGTTCTGCTCTTGCTCTCCTCGGGCCGTCGCGACCCATCGACCCCCGTCAGCCGCAGTCTGTGTGGCACGCGCTAAACCGTGAGGGCATCCCCGAAGCGGCGGCGCCCCTGCCTTCGACCGGCGCGCTCGAGGCAGGCAAATTCTCGGGGTCGGGCGACACGCGAGGGGAGACGGTGCGACGCGGGAATGACGCCCGCTTTGTCGGCGGCTTATGGTCCAGAAACGACCATAAATTGCGGCCGTGTCCGCATTATCTCGGCGAGGGAGCGTCGGGAAGGGAGCTGCTGCCGAGGTCGGGAATGTCACCAGTCTTCGCTACCTGGGTTGATAAAGTCGGTGTGCGCCGGTGATTGTGAACCGAGACCAGCCCGCCGGTGGCATGTCGGAATGCCATTCCACGCTGGTGGAGACGCTTTGTGCGGGTGTATTGACTGATAATTTAAGAGGAATCGACCGCGGCGTTTAGGGAAGCCAAGCCTTGAACGGTATCAACGTGCCAACTGTG